GAGCAAATAAAATGAATAGAGTGAAATATTAAAATTCCAAAATCCATAATTTCAGTACATTTTTAACGGTTAGAAATAATGGTGCTGTTTATATGGAAATATACATTATTATCATTATTTGTGTGATCATCAATCACATAATTTTTACTGTATATGAGTAAACTATCTAAGATCAGATAGTCAATGAACAAATAGCACAGAAAGTTTTGCAGTTGCATGCATGACTGTTCACATCTCCTAACCAATGAAACAGGCAGAAATAGGAAGGACTATGATTATTTTTTGCATCTGATTCCAAATGCTTAGTGGCAAATTCTGTGACTAATGCAAGATTCCCTATATGGTAAGTAGATATTAGCAATAACAGAATATTCTTATTTTAACACTGGTTTCCTCCACGTAACAATGGAAACATGTCATGTTAGCAATTTTGGGTGGTGCTGTGAAAAACCCAGCAGGAACTTGAAACATATTCATGATTCATGACTAAGAAACAATGTACAGGTAGTTACAGTATATCACCATGCTATATTACACTATACATTATACTGTACATGTTTTTGTAGAATCTGAGTGTAATATTTACAAAGATATAGTAACTATATAATCTAATCAGTTACTTAATATAATGAATTGTTGTGGATGCTGCTAAAAAAGACCAAGCAGGCACTTAAAACATTATACTCAGATTCTGCAGAATGATAATTTTGTGAGTTTATTTATAAATGTGAGAAGTGGCAATATACAGGTGATGGTGACTCTACATTGTATACTACAGAACGTAACCAGCTAATTAATTGAATTCTGAGAAATCAGTTGAATTCTGATGTGTTTGTATATGCCCTGCAATGGACTGACATTGCTTGCTGGTATTGTCTCCAGCTCCGCCACAACCCTGTATTGGATAAAGGGGTTAGAAAATGGATGGATCATGATGCTTTTCCATTAGAACATAAACGTTGACTTTGTATATTTAGATTTGGACGGTTTTTGTTCTTCTCTTTTTTTTCTTTGTGATCCTGGCTCTTGTGTCCTGCATATTAATTTCTCTCTGCTATTTCCAGGTATCTTGTAAGAATTTCATACAGTATTCATTATACATTATCATGGTAATCATCTTCATCTGAACCTGCAAAGGATTACCAATTAAATAAAATACAGTACTTTCTGAATATATTACATATATATATATATCACATGTGTGTACAGTATCATTTACCACTGGCATTGCTACAGCTATGAAATATCTCTCTCAATTAAACATATCTTTTATGACTTTTTATAATACTGTTACTTTACCGTGTTCATCTAAAGACAAGAATATCTTTCACCAGCATTCATACCAACTGCTACGGCAATGTTTCAGTAAAAGATTTTTATAGTGGTACTACACCAGTACACCCAGTAACTGGAAAAGTGACCGTCGCGGTTCCGTGTGGGCTCATGCCCTCACCCCTCCACTCCATCAGTTCGTCCAGCAGCACCTGGATGCAAGCCTGGGTCTCTGGCGTAATGCGACAAGGAACCAGCCAAAAGAGCTAAAGGGGACATCCCTCAACATAGGCAGCAGAGGTGCCTGCTACACGCAGGGAGGTCGATGACGTCACTGTGCCCAAACTAGCTCCACTACGGAAATCTGTCAAAAAATGCTTGAAAATATAGAATTCCATTATTCCATTATGTCCCAATGTGATTGTGATGTTTACTTTGTTCACTATGTCGTAGAAGAGCCAGGAAAGGTGTTCTCATTCACTCAATAAGGCATTTATTCATATTGCGCAATAGGGAAAACAGCAACCACTAGTCTGGGCAGCAAGTGGGAGCTGATTTTCAAAGTAAAATAGAGGAAGGTCCCTTATTTTATACACTTAGCTAATGCAACACCTCAACTGTTTACTTTATTATGGTTGGTTAGTAATACAAAGACAGGCGAGACAGTAATTTTCAGGACAGAGAAGACAGCTACGGGCAGTTTCGCATCCGCCTTTTGCTGGTGGCAGAGACAAACATATTCTTAGAACATCCTGTACCCTTGACTCGCTGATTGCAATCATACTTTGTTCCAAGAATCCAGCTGCTTTTGCAACACAGCTCTGCCCAGAAACAACATTTTTAAGGATAGAACACTTTTCTTCAGTAACTTTCTATTACAATTAACATGTACAGTAAGTGATCTGAATAATCACTTCAACCACACTTTTGAAACAAATTTGAAACACTGAGCTGATGTGTTGCAGACACACTCCCAGATGAGCTCTGAGGACACAGGAGCACAGCTCAGCCTCTCAATAACTAATGTGTGTAAACCCCACCTCCTCCAAACTCATCACTATTACAGTGCCATAGGTGTCACGCCCTCTGCAGCCAGAGGGCGCTCGTATTCTGTCCTGTCCCAAGTTTCCTGTGCTTTGCTGTCCTTCCGGTCTCTCTCTGGGGCTATATATTTCCGGGTCTCTCATTCACCTTTGCTCAGCATTGACGTTCGGATGTCCTGAGACCCGCCTAGCATCCAGATCACCCCACGTCCACTGCCTGAGGGCATTGGTTTCTATATGACTCCTGAACTGCTGAGCCCGGGCTAATCCCCTGCTCTCCTGCCTCTCCATGATTTGTCCCTTATGACATCAGTGACAATAGGCAGCTCACAACTAACACTTTATAAAAAAATTACTTGTGCTTGCAGCAAAAAAGATCTAAATAACTTAAATGTTTTAGAATAACAAAAAATAGCAAGGTGTAATAATAATAATAATGAAGACTCCCCTCCACCACCCCCAATGTGCCGCACCCACAAAGATGATGAGGCAGCAGCCGTAGTGCACCAGTATGCTCACCACACATCAACTATCAGTGGGGAGGAGAGCACAGTGATGAAACCAATTCATAGATGGGGATTATTTGGAGGCTATGATTGGTAAAGGCCAATATGACATTTTGGCAAGAATGCCAGGGTAACACCCCTACTCTTTCTGAGAAACTCCCTGGGATTTTTCATGATCATAGAGAGCCAGGACCTCGGTTTTACAATTCATCATTTTACCGTATGATGTCCCCATCACTATACTGTGACATTAGGACCCACACAACCGCAGGGTGAGGAACTCCTGTTGGCCCCATTAACACCACTACCAGTGGCAACCTTAGTTTTTCCAAGGAGATCTCCCATCCAGGTAGTGACTAGGCTCACATCTGCTTAGCTTCAGTGGGCAGCTGCTGGCAGACTGCTGCCAAGATGTGTGTGTAAGATATACTGGTGTCGTGTATAGGGTGTAATTCCACCTTGTGCCCTGTGGTTCCTGATAATTTTTAATAATCTTGGATAATCTTGCTGAGACACTAACAGGAATAAGGAGCTTCATTAATAATGGTTCGATAGATTGTCCCTGTGAATCTCTTTCAACAACAAGCGCGGGCAGTTAGTTCCAAACACACATAACTGTTTTCTAAGAACTGCTACCTCATTTCAGTCATGAACTCACTCTCTTTCAATTTCCACTTGTGAGACATTGTGCCCTTCAACACAAATCTGGGATGGTGGGTGAGGGGTGTAGTAGGGTAAATCCCTTTTAAAAAGTGAAAACATTTTATATAATAATTTTAATAATAGTAATAATAATAATAATTGCTTACACTTATATAGCGCTTTTCTGGACACTCCACTCAAAGCACTTTACAGGTAATGGGGACTCCCCTCCACCACCTCCAATGTACAACATCCACCTGGATGATGCGACGGCAGCCATAGTGCACTAGAACACTCACCACACACCAGCTATCAGTGTTGAGTAATGAAGCCAATTCATAGCTGGGGATTATTAGGAGGCCATGATTGGTAAGGGCCAATGGGAAATTTGGCCAGGATGCCCGAGTTACACCCATACTCTTTTCGAGAAACGCCCTGGGATTTTTAATGACCACAGGAAGTCAGGACCTCAGTTTTACGTCTCATCCGAAGGACAGCGCCTGTTTACAGTATAGTGTCCCCGTCACTATACTGGGGCATTAGGACACACATAGACTGCAGGGTGAGCACCTCCTGCTGGCTCCACTAACACCTCTTCAAGCAGCAACCTTAGTTTTTCCCAGGAGGTCTTCCATCCAGGTACTGACCAGGCTCACACCTGCGTAGCTTCAGTGGGTTGCCAGTTGTGAGTTGCAGGATGATATGACTGCTGGTGGTTTCCTTTTCTTTTTGCTATGTTATAACTGCTTATTCCACCTCTTCTCTTTTTCCTGTGCACAAGTTGTTATTTCTTATTTTACCTGACATTGTCTTGGACTTCTTGCAAAGTGTTTATCTTGGTTACTATATACCATATACCTGTGCAGTTGCAATTGTTTCTGTCACAAAGGCACTGTTAAGCTCTGCTGTATTAGAATCTCATTCTAAACTACATATACAAAAATGTAGCAAATTATATCATCATGCTCGTTTTTGAGTCTACTCAATTCAGAGAATGAACAAACTCCACTTCTTGCCGCAAGAAGGGATCTGTATATCATTTTAATCTGTGATCTGAAAGTTTGGAAAATAAACTTTTAATTAGTTATAGTCAATTCAGTAATACTGTCAGATTGATCTTATGTTAGAATCTCAGATGTGAAGACTGATGATCCCTGCAAGAGACCTGTTAAACTTACTGAGATCTGTCAAGAGAGCAGTTACAAAGCTGAAGCTCTTTTTGTGTTGTTAAAGTCTCAGTACCCTGAAGTTTTTTTCTTCACTCATTAAAACAACAGTAAGTGTTTCTTTGGAATGGAAATATGAACACCCTGCTCTCTTTAAGGGTCAGATCTCTTATTTTATTAAAGGAAATTTTCCTTCAGTTCCAAGATATTTTTTACTGTACATCCACTGAGATATAAGAAAGATTGATTCTACTAAATAATAAATGCATGAATAAAACATCATTTTTAAATGTCAAAGGCTTGTAAGAAGTACCAAAGAAACTGACAAATAATGTAACACACATTTAATTTGCTAAATTATTCAAGCCGGAAGTAAAATTCTCAAGAGAGAATAGAAAGCCAGAAATAGAAGTGTGGTTTAGGTAGTGAAAGATGTTGTGGCTTTGTGTAACCAGAACTAATTTTGCATTATCTGGTATAACCTTTGCACAGTGAACCTCTTCTTTGTGAAAAGTAATTCTCAGATCTGTGAAAAAAAGCCTGCTGAAAAAAATAATCAGAACTTACATTTTTAAATGGAAAAGCAAGGCTTTAGTAGAAACAGAAAAGGCATTACAATTTTGTGCAATTACAGAGATTTGTATGACAAACATTGACATTGATCAGCACAGATTTCTTTTGGGTTGTAAGCACTGCAGCCTCATAGCTTAAGTTTTCAGCCTTGACAATCTGTCTGTTTGGAGTTTGCATGTTCGTGTGTCGTCGTCGTCCCCCTCCCAGTGCTCTTGTTTCCTCCCCACTCCCAATGGTGTGTTGGCTATGATAATGACTACTGTACCTTCACATTTTTCTTCCCTCTGTGTCCCTGCGATGGATTGGGATCCCCATCTGGGAGAGGACTGAGATGCGCTTCTGGGAATGGAAATAATGGGATTTCACCTCTGTCCATTCAGGACTAGCTCCACTGCCATCGACATCACGAGAGACTTTGTGATAGTCTCTTCAAACATTAAACGATCACAAAATCTTTTCAGTTCCAATCTCACTTTGTTACATTTCTGACATTGAAATATTGTTATGATTATGCTTTGTCTAGTATAAGAATGAACTGAGCTGTGACATTTCCACTTCAGGGCCACAAAGTTAAAAAATGAGAAAGGAATAATTCAGTGATTCAGATAAATTCTGTCATGTTCAGAATGATATCTGAATATTACAGTCACTTATTGGGATGAACACAGATAATGATAGTCACAGGATGGACACTGATGTTCCAAATTCATACTGAACACTGACTGAGCTGCTTGTTATTTTCAAATGTGATTTTGAAAACACCGGGCTGTTTTCACACCAGTTATTTGTAGCCTCTATACTGAAAGGCAGAAAGCGCTAAAATGAAACCAAAAATAAAGATGCAAATGCATAACAGAGTTTCACACCCATCCCTTTGACCCCATGTCTTGTTAAAAAGTGACAGTTAGATAAACATGATATTTTCTAATTTTAGGTAGAACAGATGAAGCCAGAACAGCTGAGGTGGTTAGGCTCTCTTCTCACAAATCCATGGAATGTCTGAGCTGCAAGACCTATCATTTATTTTCCTGTCTGTCAGCTCTCCACAGTCCTCGTCCTTCACATTGTTCGGCTCCCCAGCATTCCAGTACCTATATTCCAGAAAAGAAAACAATTGTTTCCTGGAGTTTTGGCCTTTCATTTGGGAGGATTTGTTTTTTTGCCTGCGAACACTCACATGGTTATGATCTGCACAAGACTGGCTGCTGAGCTGGTTTCAGGGTTAGAGATAGGATTACTTTACTTACTGTATTTCATTACACAGTACTTTGCAACATACTGTACTAGCAGACCTTCAAAATTATTCCCCAGATGAAGCAGGAAAAGGCTGCCTTTAACTAGAGAGGAAAGGCTGACAGAAATGAAAAAAAGAGATGTCAGTATGAGGCACATGCTCCGAGTGACAGACAACTGTCTGGAATGGAGAAGGCTGGGAGCAGAAGTCTAGGAGGAGACAACTATTTAAAAAAAGTGAGAATTCAAATCAGCAGAGAATGCAGCAAGGACAGTCAGGCCCAGCTGATACAGTGTTCAAAGAGTTGGATAAAGGCATTTGTAGGCCAAGCATTAAATACGGTTAATTCTGGCTCAGGGAAAAATACTTAAACAGCCTGCTTAATTTCCTGATTTATTTTGGGATTGAATACCTGATTGAAAGACAGGCTGTCGATGTGAAATGCCACCCCACTTCGTTCGCATGGGACAGGAAGGAGGCTGAGAGCCCGTGTGAATATTCTGGTTGCCAGGGCAACATTGCAATGAGAGCTGCTCCTAGCCTGGGAGTAACAAGTTGTATTGCCAAATTTTGGAGAGCAGAAACAGTTGTTTCTGTTTCAATCAAATACATTTTTATATCAAATTGATCAAAAACTAAAAATTAAAATTAGCCAAAAACTAAAAATTAAAATTAAAATTAGTGTGATGTAACCAGAAGAAATAATACTGCAGGACCAGGGGTGAAATTCACTCAGATAGAGGTTGCTTGTTTATTGGGGGTTATTTTTTTCAGTGGGGGTCTGTCAGTACTTACTTGTCACTCATATCCACTAGTCTTCCATCCACCCATTTCCAGCTCCCTTCAGTGTTACGGTCACTCAACCCCACCCAGTGGTTGGAAGACAGTTTTTGTCTTAGATATATCTGGGGAGCAATGATGAAAGATGTGATAAACCCATCTGAGCTTATTAGATACAGAATACTGCCTGTAACTGTAAACCTCACAACTGTACCTCTGAACTCATCGAGGGTATCCTAGTTGTTGGATCCACTAAACCTTTTTTAGTAAATGTACAACTGTGTTCATTTTGATGAAAAGTTAAAACAGAACATTAAAGGCAGCACTGGGAGAAAGGGAGTAAAAACTTAAACATCTTGATCTTTGTTCTTGATTCCAAACTCTTGATGAGTCTTGACTTGCTTTGTGCTAAAAATGTATATTTTCTCAGTTTCTAACAGTTTGTATTTAGTGGCACTTGATTTGCAAGAAGTGACAGTAGACTTTTTATACAGTAAATCATACAGTATATCCTTTTCGCTAAATGATGTTCTGTAATAATAAAATATTAAAACCTTTGCCTAAAATGTATAAAATGCTATAAAATGTTTCTACATTTTCCCAAGCAAACCCACCACTGTATCGGAATAAAAGCATCCACAGATTCTCCTACACACTGTGCTCAGCTAGAACTAAGCTGCCCCCTAGTTGAAAACAAATGGAGATCTCTGTTGTCCTCTTCTTTCCTCATTCATTTCAGCCTCAGTCAGTCATTTTCATTTTCAATCCATCATCCAGTCTTCTACCAACAGTCCTTCAAAGCTCTTCTCTAACTTGTCTTCCCTTCTCAAAACTCTTTCCCTTTCCAATATCGGACTTTTTGTAACTTCTTTTTCTGCTCCAAAACTTTACCCACAAGTTATTCGACTTCATCTCCTCCTTCACCCCTCACCTCTAGCTTTACTGGCTATTGGAAATGCAATCTAGCGATTCATCACTCTATAAGAACTATTTCTGTAAATGAATGCAACTAAGTGTGATTTAAACTCAATATCAGGGATAGAAGGAAAGAAGGCATCTCAGTCTCACCAGCTCATCTACATTGTTGATAATGGCAAGGTTAGAAGCCTGGTTGACACAGTACTCTTGAGCTCTACTCCAGTTTCTTGATTCCTTTGAATAATAGTAACAACTTCCACTGAACAGGATCCAGTCACAGGGGCACACTTTTATACATTCTAATGACAAAAAAAGAAGCGATATTTTTGTTCTCTGTTGTTGTTGACATTTTTGCTTTTTCAGCATAATAGCAGTTTCACCTATTTCATTAAAAAAGGTAAGTTTTATAAGGTTGGTTTTTCCAAGATTCATTTGACCTAAAACAGAATAACCAAATAATAATGTGAAACCAAAGAATTAAAGGACCATGGTGACAGTACTGATGAAATTTGAGTATTCAAACAATTGGCACTCAACTTCTGCATACTAGACTGATGACTTTCCTAAGAAGAACTCTCTTCAGCATGTTGTTGCTATGATTGATTAATCGTTTGAATGAATAGTTTGAATCTAATTTCCAGCCTCAGGTATCTGTATGAAGTTTGTATGATTTTCCCAAACAGGTTTTTCTTGTTTATGATATGGCTTGATGTTTTTACTAATCTTTTTAGCAGTGGAAAATTTAACTATAAATAATTTATAATGTTATTATTGAATTTAACTGACAATTTCTTGCAATAAAATGTAGAATATTGTTTTACCAAATCCCACAAATGCATTACACAAACCTGTATGATTTTTGCTGCAAATCAATAATTTCTTGGAAATGCAGGTAAAACCATATATTCCCAGAGGCCGAGCATTCTCTTTTTGACCAGGTTAAAACAACAAGCTTAAAGGATGAGACACTCCTGTCTGACCTAATGTGTAATACTGTGTGTAATGTATCATCTGTTCTGAACTACCGTAGAATCAAAGTACTGACCTTGAGCTTGGAGCTGGGAAGATGAACTGTTCAGGCTGGACGACAGCTGAGACACTGAAAAAAACATAAACTCCATGTTCTGTAGTGCGCAGTACAAAGCAAAAAAAAAATATTTCCAATGTTAGCCTAATCTTGTTTAAATAACTACAGTACACTGACTATATGATTTTGGAACCTGATTGTCAGATGCTCAAAATGAGTGCAATTCAAGAAAACAATAATGTATTATTCTTATTTACTTACTGTATTTACTTATTCTTATTTACTGTCTGTCTGTATTATATGTCGCTTTACAGAGTCCACACATTTTAGCGGCCAGCACAGCAAAAAAAGAGACCATATATGCATTGCCATCCTAATGTCGTATAAATGACTACAGTATATGATTTTAGAATTGCTTCACACCCTAAGAAGGCTCCACAGCCGACATGTTGTGTCTATGATCTTTTCCTTTCACCATGGAATAAACCTTTACCTGTTCCTTTGCAGCCTACGCATATTGATGCAACTTCCCACACAAACATCTTCAATAATGGGCTATTTCTTATTTATCTTTCACTTTAAAGGGTACGTGGTCTATATTTTCCACTACAATAATAAAGAGAATGTATTTGCATTGCATTGCATCCTAATTTTATTTAATCAAAGGAAGCTGACTTTATGATTTTTACTGAACTTATTTAAAACAACCAAGTAGCCCAAACAAAAAGAAATGTATAAATGCAGACATTCCACATAATACAAAGACAACTGAGAGCTGTTGAGGAAAAGGAAGTTATAAAGTATGTGAAACTGTTTTGACATATTTTATACAGTATATTTTATACAGAAAATATTTTATTTTCACACCTCTCTACACCTATCCTGACTTCACACCTCTTGATTGGCCTCTCTTTGTGTCTCCTGCTCCTGCCTCTCGCTCCTCCTCTCTCCAAGTTTTTGTTCTCCCGCTACATTACTTTTGTTTACTGCCTATCTTTCTCACACCTGAAGAAGGCTCCACGGCCGAAACATTGTATTTTCTTTCTTCTCTTTTCAGCATGGAGTAAACCTATTACTTGTTCCTTATTTTATACAGTATATACAATATCTTGTGTGTGGTTTTGCAAAAGATTTAGCTTCAGTTTCAAAAATGGATTAAAATGCAAATGCAGTCAAATTTTATTTTCAGAAAACATTTACATGTTTCCTATCGGAATAGTATTTGCATTGTCATCCTAATTTTATTTAAATAAAGGAAGTTGACTTTATGATTTAGACAAAGTTTCACTGAACTCATTTAAAACAACCAAGTAGCCCAAACAAAAATAAATCTATAAATGCAGACATTCCACATAATACAAAGACTAAGACAGAAATATAAATAGAAATGCAGTGATGCCACTAGTGAGGACACATTCTATGGTGTTGCTATAAAAGTTCATGAGAAACTGGAGGAACTTCCCCATACTGCATTTCTTTAAGCACTTCAGAAAGTGCAGGCGCTGTTGTGCCTTTTTCAGACTGGCTAATGAGTCTATGCAACAGTTACTGAGTCTAATGCAATAAGCCTCTGGTAATCTGAAAGCTAGTTTCAAGTGGCTTACTTGAAATGTGCACTAATTTAGCCCAGGCCTGTAAATTGCGGCTAACACATCAATTTGGTATTAAAATACAAATGCAGTCAAATTTTATTTTCAGAAAACATTTACCTTTTCTGCAAAATATTTATAACATATGGAAAATGCATTGGCTCTTCTTGATAATAAAATGTAATGTAATGTAATTACAGAAATAATGGGTCCTACAGACAGGAATCATGCTTGTAACCCTGATCTTACTGTTCTCCTTCAAGGTGATGTGACTCATTCGGAGGTGCTGAATCTCTTCTGTCAGTGCAGAATCTGAAAGAAAGAAACAAGTCCAGATCAAGAGGAGAATTAAAATTTCTGATCTGCTGTGACAGAGACAATGGACTGTCATGAGCAAAGGTGAAGCTCCCACATTCACGAATGGATTCATTTTCATGGTTTCCTATCAGAATGGCCCTTGACTATTAGAATCTGCAATAAAGTGGTTTTTCTGGATTTGTATGTATACAGTAGGTTCAAGACATTGCCAAACATCCATTTTCTAACTCCTTTTCAAATACAGGATCGTGGAAGAGCTGGATCTTATCAGGGCAAGTGATGGGTGCAAGGCGGGTTACACCCTGGATGAGACTCTTGACACACACACTCTTTGGACTGTGGGCAGAAACAAGAGCACCCAGAAACAGAGGAAACCCATAAGAACATAGAAAATACAGCTGCAAAATGGCACTGCAGAAATTGAAGCCAGGACCCTAGTCCTAATCACTATGCCACTACACACTCCACAATATCAAACAGTTATTTATACTAACTTAATTAATCTATATATAATATATAGTACATAATATACATATTATACATAATATATACTGTATATATATAAATCACACTAAGAAACCTTTGTCCAAGTCAAATTGAAGAGTTCCTTCTAACATTTAAAAAACATGTTTTTTTTTTCTTTTGCAAAATAGGAACACATGAATTGTTGAATAAAATGGCTCATTCAACCCTAATTCTCTGCCATATTGAGGACTTACACTTTATGAAGACCACTGTGATGAAGCCTACCCAACCCAGAGTGACCATCAACAGCAGGACATACAGCAGAATGATGGAAAAAGCAGCAGCTGGAGGAGTAAAAGGAGTAGAAGACCTATTTACAATCCAGTAGGTTACTTTTTATATTTGCCTCTGTGAACATTCTAACTTTGGGGGAAGTTAAATTTCGTCTCTCTTTTTTTTTTAGAAAATTTAGGAAGTCTTAAGTTACTTATAAAGCAACAAATAGCCTGGGTTTTCAGGAAGAAAAAAAAGACTGATAATATCGAAATAATGTTGATTTGGGCCCAATCTTTTGTGAAATATTTCCTTTGAAATGGCTTCCTTTAATTATGCACTTTAATATATTGCACTTGTGACTGTCACAGTTCGGCAGTTCTTGTGCCCTCCATCTCTCCATGCCACCGATTCGTCCTGCAACACCTGGGGCGAGAACCCAGGTCTCCGGCATAACGCAACAGGGGACCAGCTAAAAGAGACCTCCCTCAGCCCAGGTAGCTGAGGTCCCTGCTACACGCAGGGAGGGCAATGACATCACCGTGTCCAAACTACCTCGCTACACACTTTTCATCCTGAACAACCACAAAAACTTAAAACTTAAACATAACAATTCTCTGGAAAGTGGCTCGAGATAAATAGGTAATGCAGTAGTTTGCTAAAATATAATAATGATAAAAGGAGATTAATATAAAGGAGATATTGTACTTATATTTTGGCATTAATTAACCTGGCTGATGAAATGACAACGCCTTGACAAAAGCCATCACTTGTGAGGAAAGGATGTAAAAAAGATGCGCACAGAGTTACAAATTGACCTCCTGAACTTCTGTTAAACAGCGCCATGAAGGTAGCTGTTTAAAAATACCTGACACATCACCAGATTGTATTTGGCAGTCGACGTCTTGGCCGTACTTGTGCTAGATTTCAGCTCTTCTGTTCCTTTCTCTGAGTTGTCCTGCCTTCTCCTCTCTGGGGTTTGGCTGGTCTCCTTCATTTCTAGGGTGTGTTCAATGTTTTCATAGTCTGCATCACTCTCATCATCTTCATCACACCACTGATGCCCTGCAGATACAAATATCTCTAACCACTAAAATCAATTAAAACAGTTCTATCAGGCATGGTCTTGAAGTGCACAAACTTGTAACATCTGAGCTCATTGGGTCATTATTTAGATAATGTTTTTATTGTGATCATCGTGATAACACTCAACAAAAGTTACTTGATATATAATCAAGTACTGTAGATCTAAATCCTACGTGGAACATTATTTTATAGTGCTGTATGGAAAAATGCTATTGTTTGATTTGGAAAATATGAAGTAATTTTCACACTCATAGAAAAATATGAAAGGCATTTCGTTTCTTACAAAGGATGAATTTCTTCCTTTGTGTTTAAGTTGGTTACATTTTCAACCTATAGTTGTGCACATGAATAAGATTTGTGTAATAATGTGGAATACCATACCACTACATAAGAGAGGTAAAAGTTAATGAAAAGCGTAAAAAAATAATTAATAACACAATAAACAAAAATAGTACAAAAAGCTAGGTAATTGAGGCTTGTGTTGTATTTTGAAACCACGGACAAACAGAATACTTCTAATGGTATTTAAAAGATTAAAGAAGAATGTCTCATTGTCAAACAAATGCAGAATGATGGTACAGACAGTTGGATTTTTCTCTACCAACATACTGTAAAATACAGATACAGTACAGTACATGTGCAGGCAACAGCCATGTTTAAGAACAAGAAAAAAAAACATCTGTGTTCTTGAAGAATTCCTCTAGGACCACCTGTTGAGAGAGAATAAGGTACTGTATACCTGATGGCTCTGGTGTTTTCCCAGCCTTAAATTGTTTCTGATCCCCCACATGATGAAAATCATTATTCTCATAGATATCTGCCATCTTGTTGGTCAGTAGAGCAGATGCGTCTCTTTGCACAGTTGGGCGAAATGGTAACTTATCACAGCATGTACAATATGAGTGGTTTTAAAGAGGAAATATGTGGTAAAGTAGTTTGATGTGCCACAGGAAATAACAAATGAGAGTCCTACGGCCGTCAGTTCATAATCAACAGAAGTTCCTCTCTAGGATCTTTTTTAATTCTCACCTAAAATAGTTTGATGCTCAGCAAAAGAAGCTCACCATTCTTTTTTGAACATGACAGAAGTTCTTTGCCTGGTGCATTAGATTTTGTAGGTTTTAATTAGTGATACATTTTATCATAATGCTATGCACCATGGATGAAAGTGCTCATGAAGTCAAAATTATCAACAGATATGGGGTTCGATTTGTGTACATATATCTGCATTCTTTGACTGGGAGCTTAAATAGAGACCATAAAACTGCTATATCATGCACAATGTGCAATGGCCCAGGATTGAGGTACAATCCTTCAGAAGAGATGTTTAAGTCAAGACTGTGTTTATGTTTTTGGTGTTTTCTTAATGTCTTTGTATTGGGGCATACATGCAAATAAGCACTTCAATGCACTTTACGTGTATATGACAATAAACTGAATTGATGTAAAATGTTAATTGTGCCAGTTTGTACATGTAATTTTTGTTACTTGAAAAAGAAAAAAAATACTGGATTAGAATAAATACAGTATCTGTCATCATGCTTTAAGGGTGCTAAGAATATGATAATACAAAATGAGCTTAAATTTGATTGTCATGCTCTGTAGCTCTTTAGTGTTGTAGCTATGTCACATTGATACAATAGGTCAAGTAAGATACAATCTGCATATGACTCCCTCCTCCGAATGAGACATGAAGCCATAGCAAGGCCTGACCCCAACAAAGCTATTCCCAATTTAATACAGCTCGTTGGACTGGAGCCACTAGGGTCAAATATCTTGCTCAATGTACAACAGCAGGACCAAAAGTCCGAAGCCCAGATTTTATTTCATTTACCCAGTAGACAAAAAAGCCAACAGCTAATCATGTTTCTCAAGTAACAGAGATTCTTAGCCTTAAGGTGATTCTGTAACACACTTACATGCTTGCAATATCTGTGTAAAGCTCTTGAAGACACAAGTCAGTTTGATATCTTTTACTGTACTTCAGAGACTGAGGGAGCTACAGGCAAAGCTCATGAGAATGCAACTACTGTACAGCAGAGTATTTGATTAAGATTGTTACAGTGGTACTAGACTAGTACCCCCAGGAACTGGAATTCTGTTAGAAAAACCTAGAAAATTTCAGTAAACAACCAGAATATTCTTCTGTGTTCCAAGGTGATTGTGATTTTTTCATGTTTCTATAGCATAGAATCACACTTTATATTCACTTCAGAGTTTGACTCACTCTCAGATCAGCTCTGAGGACACAGGAACACAATAGCTACTGTTTATAAACTCCTCCAAACCCATCACTACTGTATCATAATGCCATGGACAGCTCACAACTAATACTTTACAAAATAATAATTAGGTGTAACAAAGCCCCCAATGTTTTAAAATCTCTTCAGAATCATCAGGCTTTACTTCTTTTAAATAAATAACAGTTTCATTCTAAAAACTCTCTATAACTTCTTCATCAAATTAATAATCAATTTCACCCACTTTGATTCATTTAGTTCAGCATGTGATTAATGAAAGTGATCATCCAGCCTGGAATACAACTGAGACACTCCTGGAAACTGTTTTAAAATTTTTATAACAGTGATGCCACTGAGGCTCAACAGGCTTTATAATTCTACATTTTTTCCTGTTACAGACCACCTTCACTGGGAAGATTTGCAAAAGATTAGGGTCAGAACCAGGAACTAAAAACTGGAAACATCCCCTCATTAAATGTCTGTTTATAAGTATAGATGGGAGTCAGAGAGTCAGAGAATGACACCTCCCCCTGTCATAGTCTGGCTGCACTCTGATCTTTTGGGATTTGCTCTTCAGAGTGAGCTGTGTCACTGGTGAGGTCAATGCAATGGTAGCAGCTCCTGATAGCTGTAAAGCCCACATTCCTTCTTCTAGACTCCCTGAGGTGAATGTCTCAGATCCCAGCACAAAGAGACACTGATCCAACATCTCAGTATCTCACACTGCTCAGATCCTCAGACAATGAGAGATAGGGTGCTGCTGTGTTGGTGTCCAGAGACAAAGCAAAAACAACACTGACTTAACCAAAGATAAAAAAAGTTCATTTTTTCAAATGTAAGCAATTGAAGTAGTATAAAAAGGTCATACAGATGTACAAAATTGAAATGAAGAATGCAGAACATTTCTGTTAGTGTCAATATGAGGACAGCAGCTAAAGAGTCAGCACACTAAAGACCCACTGTTGGGAGAGGATCGCCAGGACACCTGTGGACCAAACTGGAGGAGATCAGTCACTTCACTCCAGGGCTCTTATACAGACAGTCGGACTCTCATTGCTTTTATCTGATTGACTCCACAATTCTCAATGTTCCTCCTGTACAGGAAAAACCTGTAAACTGCCCTCTCCCTTGTGATCCTGCCCCCCCAATACCCCAGTACTCATCGTCTCCCAGACTCTGTACATGGTGCTTGGCAAACTCTATCAGTGCTATGAAACCCCTTCTGGATCCTGCAGTGTGTTCTGGGCTCTGCAATGATATTCAGGAGTCAGTGCTGCTGTGTGTTTAGACTCAGTACAATAGAAAAGAGGAAAGCAGGTTGGAGTTCACATACAGTACCTGCTCTTCGTGGACGTGTTCTTCTGAAATATATCAACAGGACCTGATATCTATATTACTCAAACAGATATAATTAAGATAAAAACAAATTAAAACAAAACTTTACATGCAGTTTACATATACTGTACCTCATTTTATGATGTTATTGTAATGACCCTGCAATGTCCTGAAGAGGGCAGCAGTATCAGAACAGGAGGGTGAATCCACTTGCTGGGTTCTGGATCAGCAGCAAACACACTGGCACAAGTGTAACTGAAAGTACCGCACTGAGACTCGAGACAAGGTGGAACTCAGTCCATGACAAATGGCAAATCCAGGAGACATACTGTATACAGTAACAGTCAGTATTTTCTTCTGCAACTCGTAGTCACATTGACGCAACCCCCTTGTCAACCGGAACAAACGCCATCTCTATGGATCCCAGCCAGGTACTCATGATCTCCACACCCACCGGGGGCTTTTCACACAGGGAAAGTCCAGCGTAGGAGTGAGACCAGCTCCAATCATGAAATCTGGTTTCAGAGCTAACCCTGTGCATAGATATAAGACCAATTATGTTTAGTCTGTACTTTTTAACCTCCCACAGCAGCTCAGGCACCTTCCCCCAAGTGAAGGGACGTTCTATGTGACAGGAGCTAGATTCCATTGTCAAGGTCTAGTTCTTCTAGATCTGTCTCACTCATGCCACTCATCTCATCTCATTAATCTCAAGGGGTCTCTAAGCGCTTTACCTCTGTGAGAGTAGGAGGGTTCATCCACCACTGGAGTGCCAGACCCACCTGTGTAACTTACAGCAGCCTCACTGCACAGGAGAAGATTCATACATATTATCAGTAAATAAATTGAGAGGGACATTTAGGGAGACAAGATTGTATAAGACCATGATGGAGTTTAGCCAGGACCCAGGGCTAACACCCCAACTCTGATGAACATGGGCAACATGTTGAATATACAGGAGTCTGCATACTCCTGTATATTCAGGACAGAACATTCAGAGAGAACAACCTTTCTCTGAACATCAGTAAAACTAAGATGTTTGTGGACTATAGGAAACATCAGGGTGGAGACCACACACCTATTCACATCAATGGGACTGCAGTGGAGAAGGTCAGCAGCTTTAAGTTCCTGGGAGTTAACATCTCAGAGGATTTAACCTGGACCCACCACACAAACACCGTGGTCAAGACAGCCTGTTCTTTCTCCTCAGGCTAAAGAAGTTCGGCATGCCATCACATATCCAGGACAACTTCTACAGGTGCACTATTGAGAGCATCCTGACTGGTTGCATCACTGCCTGGTATGGGAGCTGCTCCGCACGGGATCGCAAAGTATTGCAGAGGGTGGTGGTGAAGTCACCGCAGCTTATCACCAGCTGTGAGTTACCAAGCATCCAGGAGTTCTATTCAGCTAGATGTCTGAAGAAGGCCAGGTCCATTCTCAAGGACCCCAATCATCCCAGTCACAAACTGTTTTCCCTCCTACCGTCCAGTAAACTGTACCAAAGCATTCGGTCCAAGTCCAACAGACTACGGAACAGCTTCTACCTCCAGGCAATAAGACTGCTAAATAGCCAACCTGTAGCTCCTTAGCAAATCACCTGTAATGGCTACATGGACACACAATTTTCACTATATTCAGCATAACTGGAATACATGAATATATTGCATACACCATGGACACATAACAGCTCTACTCACATTGAGTTTTATTCAATTTAAAAAATGTAACCTCAATTTTGTGATTTTTGTGTTTTTGTGAATTGTTGTGATTTTTGTGATTCTTGTCATTTTTGTAAGCTAGCAGAAAAAGACACTTCATTGCCAGCAACTACTGTTGCACACAGTATTGTTGTGCATTTGATAAATAAACTTTGATTTGATTTGATTTGATTTGATTTGATTTGATTTGATTTGAGTACAGTACTTATTGAAAATGGGAATGTTCACAATTAAAGGTCCCACTAGGGGGCAGCATCCTCCTAAAAGCACAACTTTTGTGCTGTGATCTGTCCTGAGGTTTCTCCTGTGCCCCCTCTCTCAATAAGTCAAAAACTTTATTTTTTTCTTTCTTAATTTTAGCATGGGCCATGAAGATCCGTCTCTAAAGTGGGATCTGTTCAATGTGAGCCTTGTCATTCTTAAAAGCGTAAAGAAAAAGATAAAATCCCAGCCCTTCCACAAGATGAACTTCAGTTCTGGACTGGGGCTATGCATGAAGTTTGAATGTGTTCTGCAGATTTTCTGCGGGGTTTCTTTAGGTTTCTCCCACTTCCC